TAAGCTATATTTTGTTTTAATACAGGGCGTCTTAATTGCAAGCCGTGGGAAAACACACAAGTCTGAGCCAGTGTCTATTAAAAACTGCATTTTCGAAGCACGGTCTATTACAAATAAACGGCCTGATGAAGTGAGGCAGTCGTTGGCCGCTACTTCCGGCTGCCTGTGGCGTTTCCCGCATTATACTGGCAGTGCTCTTTACATTTCTTAGCCTTAGGGCCAAAATTATAATGATACCAACAGTGTGGGTGGTCCGGTGGTGGCTGGCGATTACGCGACGCGCTGCGGTAGCGGCTGTCGCTCCTTCGAGACCTCGATCGTGAACGGGAACGCTCCTGCCTGTGTACATATGAGGTAAGCTTAGAAACTTGTTTGGTTAAGGCACTAATCTCTTGGCTGAGCTCTTCATAGCGTGAAACTGATGGCTGAGGCCCTGCAGGCGATTTGCTTGCCATGGCTACGTGATGAACAGGTGATGCAGGGGCTATCTCGTGCACGCGATCCGCTAAGTCGGCGAGATCGTCAAGCGTCAGCTTAGGCTGCGAAGCTACAACCGTTTGCAAGCTATGTGGTAAGCGACCAGTCCACAACGACTGCAACACGTCGTCAGGCACAGTGGGACCGGCGAGATTTCTTAGGTGTCGTAGAAATTGTGATGGCTTACGGTCACCAATATCCTCATGTAAGAATAGCTGCTTTAATTTTTTTTCTTTAGACGCGCTTAATCGCTTAACTAGTTCAGATTTTAATTTTTCAAACTTACCCGCCGCCGGGGGTGCACACAAAATATCTTTAATTTGTGCTACATACGTGTGATCCAACTGCGAAACTGCGTAGTAGAATTTTGTAGAATCACTGGTCACGTTGGATAATATGAACTGGCCTTCTAGTTGGGCAAACCACAGCTCCGGGTCATCTGGGTAAAACGGAGGTATACGTACCCCCACACGACATATGTTACCCATATCTCCTTCAGTTGCTACGGCCTTTGCTTCTCCTCCACTTCCACCAGGCATCTTGAGTCTTGGTGTTCGTATCGGGGTCACCACTGTAGTAACTTTAGGGCGCAGACAGAATGATACACGTTCGTAAAGTTGAGAGCGTTTAATTCGGAAATAACAAGCGTACGTTCCGCGTCAATGTCAGTTTGTTACTGTCGCTCTCGACCGAGCGTTAGCGATCCGAGGACGGCTGGCCTGCGCCTGCGCATCGTGCGTCACAGCGGGCGCGCGGGGCGCGTTAACTACTGCGGTGGCAAACAAGGGTCGTTCGATCTTCCCGCTACAAACTCAATATCATACACGTGATAAGGTTATTATATTGACGATGGAAGGGTCTTTTACGATTGATTAGCTCTCTTTTATGAGGGACGTAGAACGACCTCTATTTAGCTTTATAGAGTAACCGTCATTGCAATATAAATACGTAGTGTCGTACATATAATATCTCAAAGTGTTAATACATTAATATATTATTAGATTTGATTAAATTATATCCTACACTACCTATGTCATTAATACCGAATTGCAAATCGTACTGAGATGGTTTTACGCAACTTGTCGAGATGTCTACTTGAGTGATGGCGTAAACCAATCCGTTCCAAAGTTTGGCGACAAGTAGATCAGATTAATAATCAAATTGTATATTTCGAATTACTCAAATACCTTGCTCTTCATTTAAGCCCTCCATACAATCAAAGGGCCCTTGCTATGAATAAATAAAAAAGAAGTTTTATTTGATAAGTCATGAGACATAGTTTATTGTGATTGTCATCACAATACAGCGACCAGGGTACATACAACACGAAGCCAATGCAAATATAAATTTTCATGCGTACAAATATTATGAACGGTAATCGAATCCCCGACCCCTGAAGCAATCGACAGCCTTACCGAATCAAATGCTTTACAATTACCCAATTTGATCGTATTTCAAACGTATTTGCTCCCTTTTGCCGAGTGAAATTTCTCATTGAAAAAATTGTTTTTAATGCGAATTAGTCACAAATACAGGCTTTCAGGATTTTTACTTTACTCGTGTTGTAAGACCAAATTTCAAGATTGTAAGTCGAAGTAGTATGCCTTATTTTGGGTTACCGCTGATACGTTAAAATATTAGAATTGAAATCAAGCTTCTAAGTCAACGTATACTTATAAGCTTGATTTTAAGTGTTAAGGAATCACAGACTTCATACCGTATTTGATGTTAATTTAAACTTGACACATCTACGTTTCATTCAAAAAAGGTAATCTGTCTACGTGTGTGTTATTCGTGACAGACAGACCGATTGATAACATGTTTTAAAAGTGTTTTAGTTCTAAATGTATTTCTTTTTCCTTTTGACAATCGAAACCCTAAACGGGTTTGAGAAACCTAGCATAAATCAACTTATCTATACATATTTCAGAACACTCAATTCAAATCGACAATTAATGAAATCAACAGGTAACGAAAATACCTTATCCAAAAATACATAACCTTTGATAACTTATTTACCTTAAAAGAAATTTGATGAATGAATTTTGCCACCCACATAAAAAGCCCAATTTAGGCTGTTTATACCCGATAACCTCGTCTGTCTAGTACAGACGAGGTTATCGGGTATAAACAGCCTAAATAAATATACATGAGCGTAAAATATTTCCTTTAAATTAATAAAACAAATTTAAATTTAATTTTAGTACATATTTCTGTCCTTTAAAATACAAACGTTTTCTTCAACCGATTCTAAAAAGGATAATAATTCCGAACCGACTTCAAAAAAGAGAAGTTTCTCAGTGCGTTGGCATCTTCTACGTTTTATGCATGTTACCCTATTTCTATAACAGATGTTGCCTGCGGTATTGTCCAACCAATCTTCATAAAAGAGAGCTCTCTCTTCAAAGGTCAACATCTCACCTCATTGTCTCATGTGTTCATTTAACTGTCACATCAAGAAATTGACATTATATATTAATCCGGATTTTGATGTACTTTTATATCCAAATCTGTCGTAGTATAACGTAATTAGAAATATGCTAATGTATTCTGAGCATTATTACTACCCTTCTCATAACTTAAGGCTCTAGGTATAAATACAAAATTACTGAAAACCATTCTTCATGAATCTTTTCCGATCTTTGTTAAATGTTTTACAAAGTTACTCTTGGACCAAATTTAAAAGTCGATTAATATATTTCAATAAATAGCTACTTAAAGCTGCACTGTGCTTTTCGTTTTAGTCAAAGTTTTTATAGAAGCAAAATGTTTATAAAATAATTTAGACTAAAGTTAATTTTAGCAAGGCCCGACAGCACAACTCTATGTTTTTTTTATTAGTCTTAAAGCACTGAACGGAAATTTTGTAAGTAATCAATGAACTTGCTAATTTCGAACAAAGGCGTGCGCTTTTTGCAAACTAAACACTTGTATACTTTAGTCATTCTCACTCTGCTGACCTAACTTCATTACTTACCAAAAAAAAACTACGTAGAGTCTTTACGACTGGATTTATTTAATAAATGATACTGAATCGTTTTCATTTCTAAAGCATCACATATCTTAATTTCATTTCTTTTAGCCCGTCTTTTACGATTGATTTACACATTTCACACACACACTAAAAAATAATCAAAACTTGTGCGCTAGCCAACAACTTCTCGATCCCAAACCACACACATTTTCAGATCCCATCTAACTAATAATCGGATAAACCTATTGAAATTAAATGTTGTATGTGTTATATTGCTTCATCTTTATTGAATTGAAACTTCGTTTCGGATTGGGGTCGACTGAATCTAGTCCATTTTAACCCCAAAAAGGTTCACCGCAAAAAAGATGCCGTTTGTCGTATCGCCTCGGTTTGAGAGCACCTCCCTAACTGCCTCAGCCAGTATCGGAATCCAAGGCATCGACATATCGAGCCTAAGTCCAATTTCGGGGTCACTTAGAGAATAAAGTCAAATTGGCCTCGAAGAAGCTCGGTGTGCTGAACAGATCGAGGCATTATTTCACTCCGGTCTACCGCATCCAACTCTCTCAGCCGCATATGGAATACTGTTCTTATTTCTATGTAGGGGCACCCCAGTCTGGTACTTCTCTCTCTGGATCGTAAGTAAGGCGCGTTTGTGACTCCTGAGCTGCAAGCGTTCATGGGCGGCGGTAGTCGCTTTCCATCAGGTGACCCGTCTGCTCATTCCCTCTTCAATTAAAAAAAGCCTTTATGCTTTTTACTGCACTATTTGCGATTGTTTTCATTATTTATAAACTTTAATCATTAACTAAGACGTCTGAAATTAATAAATTTTGAAGGCTGACTGAAAGATTTTCGATAAACGCTTTTTTAACTTCAACTGCTTTACAGCACTAGAGATTATCAAAAGGTTAAAACTTAAATAGATACCTAGAAATGCGGGAATTGGGTCGAGTTATCTATTTTCGTTAATATTATCTATTCATCTTACATATCCGCCCAGGCCCGAACTTGTAAGCAGAAGCGCTGTGTGTCACGTTTTCGGTTTCAGATAAAACAAAATATTTGCAATCTAGTATAAAAACAATTACTTATCTACCAAAAAAAAACTCAGCAAGTTTAAAATGATGGAGTATATATTTACATTACTACATTAAGTAACTAAATTCTGTTTAATTTTATTTTTTAGTGACGGATTTGCTTTATGTTACGTGTTAGGGTTCGTTGATTCGGAATAATAAGGCTTCTGGCGACTAAAGAGTCTTTATTATTACTACACTTTAAGACGTTCACACAATGCGCGGTTAATCGAGCTCTCGCGTTTCGTGACAATTATTATTTTAACGTCAGAGGAGTACATTGTGTAGAAGCCTGTTTATGTTTTGGAGTTTTCAAAGGTTTCTAAAATCTGTCAACTCCGCTGACTGTGACTTAACATAAGAGATATGTAACTAAAAAGCTTATACCTTATATTAAGGTACGAGGACACTGAAGTTACATGTTAGCACGTTTTTAACTCCTAAATACGTTAAACTGTTATTTTTCACAGGAAGAAATAGAATCTTCGCTTCGTTTGGTACACGCTGTGGCTTCACGAGCAACAGGGGCGCTATGCGTTACACACGGATATGGAAGACTTCGCGCCCCCCTTCATGCCGTACGATGGGACTCCGCTAGGGCAAGAGCCGACCTCGCCGCAAATTTACTTCACCAGCTCGGCTTGGAAACTACGGGTTGGCATACAACTATATATACTAGGTTTACTGTGTTTTTATGACGTAGGCGGCAAACGAGCAGACGGGTCACCTGATGGAAAGTAACTACTGCCGAACTCGAACGCCTTCAACTCAGGAGCCATAAGCACGTCTTCGCCCTTTCAGGCAGGAGTACGCTCTTTTCTTGAAGGTTACGAAAATGTAAAAATATTTTGAACGAAGATTGGTAGGTACTTTTAATCCAAACTATAAGAATGGGAAGCAGGTTCACATAAAAATACGCTAGAAGAAACTTAAATGAGCCCAAAATCGGCAAACCTTCGAATACTACTTAAGATAGTTAACGCTTACAAATTAATCTAGGTCTGGAGGAAACATTAACAAAAAATCTTTATAAAGTCTCCAAACACTTCCTATAGATTATCCTGGTGCCTTAAAACAACATGGTAAATTTCTCCAGAAAACTTAGGTGAGTTTGTTTAAAGAAGCTGGATATTAATCATACGATACCCTGCCACGTAAATTCCACTCACACTTATCCGGTTTTTCGTTTATTTCTAGGAAGGTTTGATTTTAGAACTGAATGGGAAAAAAGGATACGCTTGAAATGCTGCGCTATGCTATAAACAGTTTAGGTTAAATCTAACGTGCTACTAGTATTCTACTACTTTTCATATAAAAAAGTAGCTTTGGTGAATACAATACACGTATTCTATGCTGACCGGGTAGAAGTTAGCCAGTGCTGTAGCTTTTATATCTAAATGTGATAAGGGACTGGTGACAATAGGCGGGACTCTTCGGGAGGCACTGTCGCAAGTGAATAGGTACAGGAGGACAGTAGTAAATAACCTGTCAGTTATTCGCAGCGACAAGCGGAAACAACCATCGTCTCGAAAACCCAACCTTAAACTGATAAATTTAAAAGACATGTTCAAGACACGTACGACAAGACACTTCATCATGTATTTTATAAGGATATCATTTGTTTACAGATTATTTGATGGCAGTGTCTCAAGGACTAGTTTTAGGGGCAAGTCCTTCTGAAAGAGCTGTAGCGGCGCGTGCCTTAGCTTTGAGATCGGACGGTTTGGTAAATAGTGCTGTTGCTTGGGAACGGTACGGGACTGCAGATCCGGTGCCAGTAATTGCACCACAACCGGAAAAACCACCTGATCCTGAATATCCTTGGTAAGTAATGCTGAGGTCAAATGGGCAGGATATAGATATGTAATTCGTATATCGATTGAACCACTGTGTGTGTCGTACTTTTAACATATTCATTTTATTATGTACGAGTATGCACCTAAGACTATAATTATCATTAGTTCCTTAAAACTAGTTAAAACTAGGTGTAGCCACACCTATATTAACCGAAAGTTGTAATATTCTTTGCATTATGATCTAACAAATAAGCTAGCAATAAACGATCGTTTAGAATTTGTCTAAGATTCCACTTTCACATTTAACTTGACCAACTACGAAGTTTGTACGACAGTAAAAACTAAAATTGATGAATTTTGATGTTTTAAGCATAGTTTTTTATTGATAGGTACTAAGTCTTTCGAGTGACTGCCAAATATCTGCCTATACGTGGAGCATACGCTACAAAAAATGAAGGCGCTGATTTTAATTTTAAATATATTTGCTAAAATAAAATTTAACGTAAAAAAAAAACCTAAGCGTAAGGAAGCCTTCTATTGTCAAAACACTCACCCAACACTCACTCAATTAAAACTAAACTAATCTTTATCAACTGTCATCCAAAAATACTGTCCATACAAAAATAGAACGTTTATCGATAATTCAGAATTAATAAGCAGACAAATAAAATATATATGTAGCTCGAAGCAGGCCATCATCATTTATCTTCTGAATAAATGTTCACGTAACAAAGCACTGCCATTAATCTATGTACTCGTGTGTTAGTCATTGCTAAGATTCGATCTAGGGATAGTAATATATGTAACTGAAACAATGATTCACTAACTCTAACTTCAGGTACGTGTCAGCACATGAAAGCGAATCTGTTCGGTCTCCTAAATTCATGCCATCGCCACCGGGTGCTACTATGGAGGGCTGGTGGACTTATCCCTACTATAGTTGTGAAGCAAAACGGTGGCTCTTATCTTATACTGTGCCTGTTTCTTCTATTCGAGGGTAAGTTAATTTTAAACTTTAATTAATATTTCTTCAGCTGTTAATGGAAGGCGTCAAACAGAAAAAAAAAACAAATATTAGTAAAAAACGTAATGTGTAATGCTGGCTGCATTACAATAGTCGCAATATGATATATGTACATGTCAACCACCGGCCAACTCGAGCACCGTAGCCTCTCATTGGTCAAACCTGTTACTCTCTTTCTTTCATTTTCACACTATCACCCCCAAAAGATGATTCACATCAATAATACTTTCGAAATCGAAACGGCATCTTAATGGATGGGCTTGGTGAAAGCTAAGTCCATCCATCTACGGAAAAGTTGACCTTTTGATAAGATGATTACTATGAATACTGAAGAAAGTGTTTCGGTTCCAATTTTTCGTCTTTGGAGTACCCCACAACGCATAAAACTCAATTTCTATTTTTATATAGTATGAAACCTATTTATTACGGTTAACCAGTTCTCTTCCCTGGCTAGAAATGTACCCGTGGTGACAGGCGGAGCATTGTTTTTGATGATTGTGAGTGATTTCCTAAGTCATAGAATCTTATGTTTGATAATGTTAACCATAAATTACTAAATGTTCATTTTTTAACAGATTAAAAGGCATCGTCTCGCTCGATATAGACATATCTAGTTTGGAAATTAATCAGTGCGAGGCGGACACTGCAGAGAAAAACGATAACCAGATTTATTCCTTTCATGGCACACACAAATGTCCTAATGAAAGCACTTACGTAAGTATCAAATAAGGAACAAAACAACCAATACCAGAATTAATTAAGTTTTAAAGTAAATTAGTCAATAAATTTCATTTGATGTTCTGTTTTCAATATTCAAAAGTAAACCTACATGTTGTGAATTTCCCACTCGATTAATTCACTAACTTTCTAAACTTAGAAATTAAGACCACTTCGTCATTTTTCACTACTATTCATGTAAAACATTTTTTTTTCGCAGTGTGAATACAAACCGATACGAGAAATGGGTATACGTTACGCTGGCTGGGCTCGAGGATCATATATATGCCGGTGTCGTCCTGGCCACTATTCAATACACCATCCTGAAGGATATAATGGATCTCTTGTGGAAGGTGCGAGTCGTGTCGTGTTAGGTCCCAATGATCTATTATTAATTTGTCAATATTTCTCCTACATGCATAGATAAAAATGGAAAATGGCTCAAATTATTCCTCTCCCCAAGAAATTTAATCCGTCTTCCTTCTCAGATTACCGTCCCAAATCTATCCTTCCTTTTCTTTCCAAAGTCCTCGAGCGTCTCATTCACACACGGTTAACTTCATTTCTCTCAAGAAATTGTCTCCTCAATCCTTTCCAGTCAGGTTTCCGTCCAGGTCATAGCACTACAACAGCTCTAGTCCATATTACGGACGATGTTAGGTCAGGCATGGATGAAGGAAAGCTAACGGTCTTTGCTTTACTTGACTTTAGCAACGCCTTCAACACTGTGGATTTTGATGTCTTGCTGGGTACATTGTGCTCTCTTAACATATCGCCATCGGCAATTGACTGCTTTCGTAGTTACCTGTACGGTCGCCAGCAGCGTGTTTGTACTGAAAACGTTTATTCCTCTTGGCTCACAACATCTGCGGGCGTACCTCAGGGCGGCGTGTTATCACCGTTACTTTTCGCAGTTTTTATTAACTCAATCACAAATCAATTATTGTCTTCCTACCATCTTTACGCAAATGATCTCCAAATTTACTCACAAGCTACTCCAGATAATTAACAAAAGCAGTGGATGCCATAAATAGAGACTTAATGCAAATATGTAACTGGAGTAGGGAGTATGGCCTAAGCGTAAACCCCACAAAAACACAAATGATTATTGTAGGTAGTCCCAGGCTACAATGTAAAATAAACTTTCAGCAAATACCAGTTGTTTGTTGCAATGGCTCGGTTGTACCTTACAGTGAAAAAGCAAAAAACTTGGGGATCTATATGGATAGGTACCTATCCTGGGGCCCCCAAGTTGCAGCGGCAGGATCTCTGCGAAGGCTACGGAACTTCCTTTCTACCTATACTAAAATTGCGCTCGCACAATCTCTTCTTCTTCCTATCCTTGACTATGGCGATGTCAGCTATCTGGATCTCACCGAAGACCAACTGAATAAACTTGAGTGACTCCAAAACCTATGTATTAGATTCATATTTCGATTACGCAAATATAATCACATCTCAGAGTATCGTTTTAAACTCAAGTGGCTTCCAATACGCTTTCGCCGGCATCTTCATATTTTTTCTCTTTTATACAGTGGTCTGTTTCATCCCCGCACACCCACTTATCTCAAAGAACGTTTTCAGTTCTTACACAACACACATTGCAGGAACCTAAGGTAATCGCAAAATTTAAAACTAAAAACGCCGCAACATTCCACCCAGTTTGCAGACAAATCTTTTACTGTGCAAGCAGTAAGAATTTGGAACAACTTGCCGTTGACAATCCGACAAGCTAAAACCTTGCCCGCTTTCAAAAAGCTTTTTTTTTTTTTTTTTTTTTTGTTGACGATGTGGAAAATCCCTTCGGATCTCCTGCTCCTCGGGGCTAGGAGCTAGGAGTATGTGGTGATTCCACTAAAAACCACCCCGACGGCCGGCCTCAGGTGCCCTACTCTGGGAGGACCCGGACCATGTTATTTCAGGTCCTCCCCGAATTGACACCATGCCTATTCAGGCCCTATCCCAGGGGAAAATCACTTCCCCCCTCAATCGCGACGTGGCGGCCCAATTTCGTCTTAATGCAATCAGGCCGCCATCCTATCCCCTACCGCAATATTCAATCAGCGACCAGAGGTCCCCACTCTCTGGCGGCCCGCGGCCCCGTCGGCGGCTGGTATGGTCGCCGACGTCCTCTACGCTCAGGATCGGCCCTCTCCCGATCCCGTTCAGCGGTCTCTTTCTGGAGCATTACAGCTTCACAGAAAGAGACCACTGAGCCCCATCCCTCCTCCCGCTTTCAAAAAGCTAGTGAAGGATTTTTATCTGACATTTTAAATACTGTTGGTTTTATTATATATAGTACTAGCTGACTCTGCAAACGTTGTTTTGCTATTTACATTATTTAAATATATATATTTTTTTAATTTCTTAAAATCCGTTCTTAGCTGACCTCTACTCGGTGAAAAGAATATTCCTACCAAATTTCAAGTCTTTAGCTCTAATGGTTCCAGAGATATCGTGATGAGTGACTATATACGTGGAAATCTCTTATATATATATAGATATATTTTGGACTGTATATATATATATATGTTGTGTGTATGTCTATTAAATATGTACATATATGTATATGTAAATATGTATATATATATATATATATATTTAAATTAATTAATTTTGTTTATGTATGTGTGTATGTATTTATCTATGTGTAATGTGAACAGATGTTTATTTGTGTATGAATGCTTTTGTTTATATTTTAAATATTCACGTGATAATGCGTTACGTGTATGTAAATTACCCAACTTTTAAATAACTAATATCCGTATCAAGGTTGTCTGGAAGAGATCGCCGTGAGCGATAAGACCGCCGATTGTTACGTCTATATATTTGTAATGTCTTATGTGTTAACTGTAAACAATAAAGATATAAATAAATAAATTAAATATTACACAGGTAGAATGTTTGATGATAACTTATTTATTACCATACTAAAAAAACAGGATATATTATATGTTTTTGTCTAAACTTAGTTTTTTGAACTCCTTCATAATATTTTTATTCCAATACTCATACTGTCGCAAGAGCCTCTCACAGGGATTCTTCCACCATTTTTTTTCACATTTTAGACAATCCGAACGAAAGTGCTGTGTCCCACAAAATCTCACCATTAAAATCTACCAATTTCGTCTAATTTGACTAAAGGTTAATCTACAGAATCATTTCCATTAGATTTGGTTGGATTCAGTGTTGCCAACCTAGTGAATTGTCCACTAAAACTGGTGGTTTCGACCCCCCTCCGTTAGTGTTAGTGGCGAAATATTGCTTTTAGTGGAGGTAAATATATTGTTATCTGGAAAATCGTATATCCGGGGTTGCCTACTATCGTCCCCAGAAGGCACCGGTGAAAAACAAAATTGACAATATTGTGTCGGTAGTTAAATCTTTTCTCTGCTATGTGAGAAGAAGTAAGAATACGCTGTGGTTTGAGGTTAGAAGGAAATGCTGTAACTAACATGAAATTGCAATAAACTCTTATAAAACAAATAGATACCAAAAAATAGTTTCAATCAGAAACCAACGACGATGGTGTAGACAAAACCGATTCATCTGAAGAAGACAAATTAATTTAAAATAAGTAACTATTGTTTTTCAATATTTTTTTTACGTTTATGATTTTGATTTGTTGATTTACTATTTGTATGTTGATTTATTGATTGTTAGGATTAGTATTACGTAATAAAAAGGAAACTAATTATTATACATACGTAATAACGAATAAGTATTGAATTGTTTTTTTTCGTAATAACTAAAAAATGTTTATATTTAGTGGAAAATTTAGCGACTATTGGAGAAGGGCCGTTTTTCGTTAGTGGTTTTCTGGTGTTGTTGAATGTTGAATCTGGTGAAGTTAATTTAATTGCTGGCAACACTTTTTGGGTTTGGTAACACTAAACAGCTCTTGTCTGTTGATGTTTTGAGAAAACAAGACACTGAAAAATAACAATTAGAATAATTATGTTTACATTATATGTAATATGACTAACGGTACATATTGTAATAAGATATGTGATTAATTTTATCTTTAATTATTTTCTTACTATCTATGCTGAAAGTTTTTGTCTATATTTATTTATAAAATGTGTATAAAGTTTGTTCAGTAAGGTAAGGTTTACAATACTATATACTATTTTTAAACTTAATGCCCAAAATATTTCGGATAGAAATTATGAATTTTTGAGCACGAAATAAAACGTTTATTTATTCTACAGTCGCATACCAAGAATATGAAGAAAACGGCTTAGAAAACTGGAACGAACCATACGAATGTCTGAAATGTCAACCAGGCTGCGAATCATGTCGAGGACCAGAACCCTGCCTTGCCACTTACAATTGGCCATTTCGGTAAGAGCAAATATATTGTAAATAAATATTGTATTTAATTGTTTTAAACTGTGATACTATATTAATTATTAAAGTTTAACAGAAATGAATGTACTTTCATGTCTAACTATGATATTATCTATCTTTATAATTTCAGGATATCTTTGCTGGTCATATCAGTTACCTGTGCAGGGATGACAGTTTGTTTAACAATTTACACCCGTCATCATCGCAGGGTCAAAGTGTTCCGAGTTGCAAGTCCTGTATTCCTCTCTATCACTCTTCTGGGATGTGCAATTATGTATATGGAGGTATGTATAAATACATACAGGTATACACATAAATACAAATAAGAACATACATATACACAAATATGCAATTTTAGTTAAAATTGTTTTATTTTTACAAACATTTATTTAAATTAAATTATTTTAACCATTGCAGATGGCAGCTATTTTCCCAGTGTTAGATAGATACTCTTGTATTGCTACAAAATGGACCCGTCATATGGGATTCTGCATAACATATACTGCTCTATTGATGAAGACTTGGAGGTAAAATATAATCTCAGTATAATCAATCAAAATGTAACTTTGTTTATGACAATGATGAGTAGAGTTCATAAAGCGAGTGTATCTGTAATCCAAAATATACTTATCAAGAGATAGTGAATTAATTGTCAAAATCTAGAAAACTGTTGCATGTAAATCTTTAAAAGTAACTGTCTATGTAAAAGTTGAAATAAGTTGTCCTACATAATGTTACTGATACATTTTTTATTTACACTTTAAAAGATACTAGTACTTTAATTTAACCACCGATACAACTAAAAATGGTAATTTTTTTAATGAGGTGGGTGCGAGGGGTATATCAGCTAAATCCCTCTATAACCTGCTTTAAGACCTTGGATTGCTTGAAAGAGCTTCAGTAAGCTCTTTTCTTAAACGAATATCCAAAATGTCATTGCTAGGCTTGTATCGAATATGGTTCGGTATAGGGGGTAACAGCAGACAGTGGAGGTGAGCGCTGACGCTTCGTAAGGAGTACTCTCTAAACCTGCTCCTGGGTCGCAATTTCCAGGCGCACTCGAAGTCGCACGTGTTGTCCCCATTTATCAGGTGTGAACATGGAATACATGGAATGCTAAGAAATATGTCAAACCTTTGACATGTTTGGGAGGGTCTCATTAGTAAACGATTTGTAGAGATGACTGACTGATTTTTGTGTATTGCTGCTCATAATTTTCTGTTTTGTAACCTTAAAATGTGGTCTTGAAGAGTGACAATATTATTAAAAAAATCAAATGTTAACAAGATTTTTTTAAATAAAATTTCAGAGTTTCACTTACATACCGTGTGAAATCAGCTCACAAACTAAAATTGACTGATAAACAACTGTTACAATGGATGGCACCTATCCTCCTTATCATGCTAGTGTATCTTTGCACTTGGACTCTGTCATCACCCCCAGATGCTGAAGTGGTAAGATTTTAACACTAACTTGTTTTTTCCCCCTACTACTAAAGCTAAAGCTATCGTAATAATATTACAATCCTCCTAAAACACACCAAATAGACAATCCAACCAACTTGATGTTACAAACGTTTTAACATAACTTTAATGTTTTCTTTGCAGATCACAGACAACAAAGGGCTTAAGTTTAAGCAGTGTACTTACAATTGGTGGGATCATAGTTTAGCCATAGGTAAGATAATGATTTATAGTAATTATTGAAGTGAAAATTTATTAAGTCATGTTGGGCATTTTTGAACAACAAACAAAATAATGTATTTTTTGAAATGAAAAAAAACCATTGAACTCGCGAAACTTTTACCGTTAACGACACCTCTATATATAAGTATCTACATATTGGACCTTTTAACACGAGAGTTGAGTTTGATTTGAAATACATGATATAAACATATATTGTGTATATACGTACATCGTAAGATACATGGCGGAACTTTTGGAATCGAAAAAAAACAAGAAAAAAACCTGTCATAACCAAAAAAAAAACAAGTTTTCACTACTGTCTGCACTCCCAGTGCCACTGTTTTTTTTATTCAGGAACAATTTTTCAGGAATGTTATTTATATAATTAACATCTTGTTACATATAAGGTATATTTTACTTGTATCATACAGTACATAATCACTGCAGCATATCCTTTACAGGTTTTTTAAAATACCAATATCATATGATTTTTTATTTGAGAAATGTTTTGTTGTGATTTGTAGGGGAAATCCTGTTCTTGCTTTGGGGCGTTCGTGTATGCTACCGCGTACGTCACGCAGAGAGTTTGTACAACGAGGCGCGCCTTATATCCATTGCAATATACAACATATTCACTGTCAACTCTCTCATGATAGCCTTCCAGTAAGTATTAAGATTCCAAAAGCTATTTTAATATCATTACTTAACCACCCATTATTGGTAATGAGGCTTGTATGTACCTAGTTATATACAACAGTGTTCACTGTGTACATTAGAGTTGAGTAACCGTCCTGTGCGGAAATCCCCTCAGATATCACCCACCGGGGTGATTATGTCAGATTCGAACCGACCAAAAACCGCACGCCGTCTCGGGTACCAGTAACCGGGGAACCAGGTGTAACCTAGAAAGGAAATCCCTGGTACCCCGACGTACCTCGAGCGATCCACGGCGCGTAGATGGCCCCCTCCTACGTGGGAACCCTCATGTTCCCTTTTTACTCCGTTCCCGGGCCTGGCGGCCGGGAGAGTTTCAAACCTCTCCCGGTCCCGCTCCGCCATATCCTTCGCAAGGATAACTTGCTAGCAGAAGGAGACGGTGGGGTTCCACGCACTCTCGCTCCGTACCATAGCGGCAATCATACTACCGAGCGAGAGGACTCCCACCCCGATGGCCACCACGCCTCTGCTCCGCCCACGCCGGGCATTCTGCCAACGTGTGAAGGGCCGTGTCCACGGTCCGGCCATCGCAGTGGTGGCACACAGGCGTTGGCTCCTTGCGTATCAGACACAGGTGATCTCTAAAACAACCTATCCCGGTGATCACCTGCGTGAGTCGGTATGAGAGGGTTCCGTGACGCCTCTCGAGCCCATCCTCCATAATGGGTCTTACCGCCGCAATAACGGCGTGCCCGAGAGTTGAGTAACTCTAAACCAAAATCGAATTATTTTTAATGTACTTTATAATTTGGTACTTTATAAATTTAGTTACTTCTTCATTAACCGAAGTGATCACATTAATTCTACTTTCCCCTCTCTTATAACAGCTTTTAAAATTAATAAAAAGATTGATTCATAAAGTTCAGCTAATATCTTTCCTTAAGGCCTTAAAATGAAAAGAAAAACGAAACGGAAAAGCTTTTTTAAAGTTATAATATATTATATTTAAAGGTATCAAATAGTTATACAAAATGTACAATAAATTATACAAACTGAAGAAATATTTGAACTGTTATTTTACTCATAATGAAACATTTTACAGTCTACTCATTTTACCTCGGGCTGGACCTGATATAAAATATCTCCTTGGCTTTATAAGGACTCAACTATCCACTTCAACTACCGTGCTACTGGTATTTTTACCAAAGGTATGTTCTACCTAGCTACTAACATATAAGTGTATCTACCTAAATTAGAACTCTTTACTTTCTTATTTTTTTAATATAACTTGTACTTGTCGCTTAATAACCATAGCAGGTGCGCCAAGTGATAATTGAAATGGAATTTAAATAATGATATGAACTACGATAATGAATTGGTCAAGTGTTGAACAATCACCGGTTTAATATTTATAATTAAAATAAGTGTTTTGAACAAAACCTGTAACAATTATAACTGGCATATCAATGTCCTGTTTTTGTAGTAGAAGGGATGCTATCAAAGTTATTGGTTTCGCTGTCACGTTTGACAAAATGTGGGTTATGTCCAGGTGATGCGCGTGGTGCGCGGCACGGGCGACACGTGGGACAGCCGCGCGCGAGCTCGTGGCGTGCCCGCTACCTCCTCGCTCAACGGCATCGGGCTGGTGGCCGACGACCCGCCCGACCTCTACCAGGAAAACGAGGAACTCAAGGTAAAATTAATAGCTTGTTGCTTTGTAATAAAAATCGATGTGTGCAGAAAAAACTACTGGGTAACATCAGCTATCTAAATGTCATAGCTGTTTTACCTAAATATAACTATAACTGGTGGAATATTCCTTCCTGTGTGTTAAGCTCGGCTGTGTAGTTTGTAAGTAACCAGCCATTTCAAAATTTACAGGAAGAAGTCCAGAAGCTAGCTGCACAAATTGAGTTCATGAAGATAGTTCAGATGGAGATGCACAACCGCCACCTGCGCCCGCGGCCCGGCGGGTACTTCACCACCAACACCAACTTGGTAGCGCAGAGCCCTATACATCCTAAGACTGTTAACATTTCACAGGTAACATTTCAACTCTATATGTGTATGGTAAACTATAGGGTAATGTTTAATTTAAATTTGAATTGAAAAAGGTGGGCCCCAAATACATTTTATTACACTGTCTAGTTCGGCAATTCAATTGCCATTTCAATTTGTGCTTTGTCATCTTGGCTAGTCACGAATGAGAACAGGGTGTGATTTTTTTTTATGATATATGAAGTAAACAGGTCATCTGAGGGCCTAGTGCAAGTTTATTTACATCGACTCGCTCTCGACGCCGAGCGCGTTTAGCATTGCGATTGGCGGTGCGGGCCAATAGCGGGGCAAAATGCGATCACCGTGACGATCGAGTAGATGTGAAATAAACTCGCACTTGGGCCTCTGATGGTAAGTGACACTTGTAACTCAAGAATCACAAGTGCCTAATTGGCCTTTAAGGTGTGAGTATGCTCTTATCTCGAAGGTTTAGAAGTCTTATCGGTGCAAAAACACCGTACCGAGCTTTAAAAAAAAATGCCATAACTTTAAGTACAGCGTGTTTACTTTCGATAAATAGTAACTTCCACAATTGAGAACCTCGTGTTCTGCCTCATAAAAAAAATGTATATGGCATGTTATGTTCACAGGATAGCACAGAATGGAGCGGCCCCGTGTGACTGGTGGCGCTGAGCGACAGCGGCTGGTCGTGGCCGGGGCCGGCCGGCCGCAGCGTGGTCACGGCCGTGGACTGCCGCCCGCCGGCCTTCGTCTGACAACATCTTACTTTTCGTTACTCAGCGATAAGACTTCATTTACATGTGTTAGTGAAAATGTGATCGTATATATTCCTTTGTCGATATATGTGTTTACTATTTTTATAATATATATCATTAATTTGTTCACAATGGTGCTCTGACACAGCAGTGATATTGCACGGTTCTCAATCTTTCATTTTGTATAAACATACGGTATTAGTTCCCATCAGACTTCAGAGCGCTTGTGTTGGGCTACACCTGCGGCATGAATTCAGTGTTATAATGCCCCGTGGTCGTGCCGGACTAACGTCGGAGACATTGTTCATCAAAGTTATGATTAAGGGTGCATGTTGCCTAACATTTTTAAGTGGCAACAACTTTATTTTCATGAAATTATCATTAAAAATGTTTAATAAATGTGCTATAATAATGTAACTGCTGTATGGGAACATCATAAAAATGTGTCTAGTCTATCATGTGAGAGATGTTAGAAATAAAAACTATAAATGAACAAACATTGTGTTCAGTTCTGTTCTGTTATGGAAGTCAGATTTTCTATCTATTATAAAAAAACGTAATTGTAGTGTATCTACCTATACGTCTCTCATGCCTATGTATTGTCTCATTCCATTCTAAAGATATTTATTTTTTATGTACTCTTATTCTTAATAATATTTAATTTTTAATGAAAGATATTAAGCGCAAAAACGTATTTTTTGCACTAAACTTTTGCCTCGTCGCCATTTGTAGTGCTTATATGTGCATAACGTCACCAGCAGCTAGGGTCAACACGTCCGCTATCGCCAACGGCTCGTACGCTACTGTCTCCCCACCGCCCGTTCACGTGAGACAATAATAGGTACATACACCACAGTGATCAAACGGGAAATACATACATAAAATACGTACACGTGCTGAAATAAAAGCACAATGCCAGAATAATTGCTGCTAACCCTACTCATCGGAAATACTTATGATAATATTAGACAAGACTGTTGAAATAAAAGTATATATTTCAAACTAGATTTTACACGTGGCTGGGTTTATGTCGGTTATCGTGGTATAAAGTAGCCTATGTCCTTGCTCAAAAATCAAAGTATCTCCATGGCAAATTTCATTTAAGGTTTAGAGATTTAGCCGTAAAAGCGTAACAGACAGACCGTTACTTTCACATTTAACTCATTAGTAGGGAAATACCACGCTAATTTTAAAGTCGTTTTGTTATCGAAAAGAGGTGGTATTTAACTTAGAATAACTTGTAGCAAAAAAAAAAATTACCAAATTATTTACAATTTCTTGTGCCAAAGCAATTTTTCGAAATTAAACCATTCGAAACCAAACCAGGTGCCATTTTTGTGCTTCACCGCAATTCCGACTCGAACTGCACTAGGACTCACTCACAAGATAGGTGGACATTCTGTCTTATCATATTAAACTCCAAACATTTTATATTGCTTAAAAATCATTGTCTTAGACTGTGATTGAACTACTCCATAAACATAAGTGCATAAGCTGCTGTAATACTGGCTAGCAATTCTTCATTCAATCAGTGCTGATATTTAGTGCCAACTAATAAGTCACAGAAAATTATTTTTATCTCAAGTTTTAACATACTTTTTTTTTAATTCTAAGAGTAAACAGTTGTTTTTTTTTGCATATATTGTTACTATAGACACATAATATATGTATATTACATTTTGTAGAAAAGGCTAGTGTTCACTAATAACATTCTAATTCAACAATCTCATCTAGAGATATTAATAACATATACCAAAGATGATAACCACAAACATAGAAGTCTGCCATCTGTACTGTAGTTAACTATTAAAAACTGTGTTCTAATAAGACTTTATTTATATCGCTTGATAACGTAATTGTAACTCGCTCCAAAGAATTTGGAGTAATAATCATTCCAAACGTATGTATATTATGCTGCCAAAGATCTGTAAAATATGAATTTCAATGTAATAATTTTACGTAGTTAAATTTTATTTCTATGATATTTATGTCAAATACAAGTAAGTCATTATATATATTAATGAATTGTAAACATAACAAAATTATTCATAATTTGTAATATATCTATAGTTATTACAAATACTGAGCACTTAGTGTTCATCGTTAGGACCGACAATAAAAAATTAAACTTGGAAAATTTTAATTTCATAAGTCATTTTAAACTTAAAATCTATTGTTTTAGATGTAATATTTTAATATTAGGTTTGAACTTAAAGTATTAATATTTATTATCAATTATGAGCTGTAAATTAGGTAATCATAATCCATATGTATAGTTTTAGATGTAAACCAATGTGTAAATATGACTCGAGATAAAGCATAAATTCTAAAATGTTGTACATAAACTCATTAGTAATTATTTATTGTTTCTTTTTATTTGTTATCATTAAGAAGCAGTATTAATCAATTATAAATGTTGTGTAATGTAATCACAAGTTGTTGGAATCTTTATAGTACTGAGTAGTTATTGTTAGGTGTTATTAATTGTAAGAAAATCAAAGATATAGCTCCACTGTACTGTGAATCTTCGTGCTTAAATTATAATAGATAGAATGTTGTGTGTTTTTACAGTGCTGGTCACTATATAATGTAAGGTGTCTAGATGCTAAGATAAAATAGGTAGCGTGATTGAAATGTAGGTACTTGGAAGTAACGACGATATAAATGTAAAAGTTTATGAGGACAGAAACTGCTTAGTTTAGTTCACATAAGATCTATTAAAAAAATTCTTTTTTGGTGTACCTACCACCTATATTAAAATTGTATGAGATCTTAATGTTATCATAATATAAAAAAAAGTACGGTTCACTAAAAATTAATTAATTTAAAGCGAAACTAAGTTTCTTGTTCATGTAAACGCGTCGACAACACTGGGGTAATGTACACTAAAACTTCAAATTTTTCAAATCTATTCGACATATTTTATGCAATTTTATTTTTTATTGTAAAATTTGGGTAATAAAACAAACACGGAAGGTACGTGACTATGAAAGACAGGTTCAAGCACCTATTTGTTATTGTATCATATCTTTCAAACTAAGACCCGACTTAATCTGTGACTTGGCGACAAGTTCAGCTAATTATAGTTAAACCGCCGTAAGCTTGGCCCTCCTGATGGTTTTGGGGACGCGGGGCGGGGGTGCATTCAACCAATTAGCTAGTGCGTCGCTGTCCGCCGGCAGTGACTGACGTGAAAGTATGGCACACACACACACGGTATTATTTTGCAACATGGATAATCTGCCGACAACCATCAGGAGGGCCAAGCTTACGGCGGTTTAACTATAGCGACTATATTTGGTAGAAAACAGACCTTCGCTACGCGCCCTAGTTTTTGAGATATAAACGTGGGCAAGCTGGGTAGATTCTCACCAGGTCGCCCACCACCTATAAACGCTTATAACTTTTAAACCAGTGACCCACAAATTCTGATATTTAAAGACAGTTGTCGACATTTTTTTTGTATTATTAAACTTAAAATTCCGGATGGTGGCCAAGCCAGTGACACCCACCCTTCCACAAGTGCAACTTTAATTAATTAAACAGCAATATTAAAATATTTTTATGTTAAATGGATGACAAAAGACTTTTTGTTCTCGTGACTCTGTAAGATGTCTTTGTATTGGTACTGTTGTTGTTGTTTTGGTACATAAGAAGCCATTGCCTATGTAAACTATAAGCGTATAAGCCTATAACTAAAGGTATGAAACACACTTGAAAGTAGAACTAATAATGCCAACTAATAAGTCAGATCTACTCTACTCCGATTAGCAAATCTATTCCAAGTGTGACTTAGTCTCTCGGTACCCTAAATGCATGTGTGGGTATGTAATACTGCCATTTCTGGTTATTATAAATATTTTAATTCACGTCTTATCTGCTTTTTAACGCTTATTAGGGCTGTCTGTCTCATTTTACATGGTGTACACACATAATGTAAGTACGTACATGGAGGCGTATACTAATAAATACTTTAAATTTTATATAGAAATTGTAAGACTGTATAAATCACGCTACCTTATCATGCTTAGAATATGTTATAAAGATTCACACAACTAGATTTTATTTTATTGCGTGTTTAAATATGATAATTAGTATTAATGTTTATAAGAAGTTTTAAATCACTTTCTAGATGTAGGTAGATACTATTATTTATTTTTGGACTACCCTATCAACGTGTATAGTTGTTGATGCAGTGTGCAGTGCACAAAATGCAATCATTTAGATATAATATCATATCTATAGGTACATACAATATTTCAAAATCTCATCTCCCATTCATTGAGTTAAATAGGCCTATCCTAAATTGTTTAAACTAATAGATTATTGCTTACTTTCAACATGCTTTAAATAAGCAAGTACCTACAACTTCATTATATAATTTTGTGGAACATTAGACACGTTTCTGTAATGTATGCAAGTCATAATATTTACTTCTTTATTATAATAACATACTTTTATTAAAACTTTACAAATATTAGGGAAAACTAAATCTATTTTTCAATATTTCTAAATGTTAATTCATATGATCATATCCTAACGTCATTTAGTTTTGATACAATCAAATCTATTATAAATTATATTTGTGATATAATTTCGTTAGTAATTTATTTATTTATTTGGTTTAAAACCAAAATGTTGATGTTTATGTATAAGCTGTTAATTAAAATTTAAGATACTTTAGACATCTTTAAAAGACAGCAGACATCATATTACTGTATTTTTTATGAAGTATTTTATTGTAAGTTCAACATATTATTTTGTAAAATATTGGTTAAAAAACATTCACCAATACTAAATCACGATCATCTGTGATTCTCTTTATTTGCCCTAACAATTTGTTAGTTTATTATTATAGAATATAAAATCATAAAGACGCTCAAGGTGTTAATGTGGTATTTAATTTAAATAAAAGTAAAGTCATTTAACAGTGCAAAACTCATTAATTTATTTTAGTAGGTGTGAGTAAATCATAAATGTGATACAACTTAAGTTTAGAAACAATATAATGTGTAATGATAAATTTTCTCGTTGATGTGTCTGTCAATGTCTAAGAACAATTCAAAGTTCTGTGGTATAATTATTTTGATTTTTGAATCTCTTTAGGATTAACGATTCCATGTTCTATGTGCCAAATTATAAATTTTTGACTTGAGTATAACAATTGAATGTATCAATTTTTGTAACATTTTTTTTATATAAAAAGCATGATAAGTAATAATGACTTAACTTGGATGTTATTATTAGAGTTGATGTAATAAGTATTGTTAATCTATGATACACATCTCTAGGTAAATTGTGTAAGAAGTTCTGTTTTTACATTAAAATAATAATGACTGTTTGAAATGTTATACTTATTTCTGTCACCTACTCCCTATTTTCTGATTTGATATAAACAGGATAATATGTACCACCTAGCATTAACAATTATTGCAAGGACCATTAAAGTATTAATAAATCCATATTAATAAATACATGGTCTGGTTGCAATTCTAATTCGCCGAGTTCTACTTTTTGAAGTTATGCTTGGGTTCCTTACAATGAACCCACATGGTGGAGCACTCTGTGGTTTTACTAACGAAAGCATTCAAAAATCAATATGGTTACTCCACCACATGTGGTTTTCACAAGCAAGGCACTCTCTAGGTGAATAAAAAAATTACAGTTTTTATCCTACTGGTGTTTGTATAATGTCTGTTACATCCCTTACAGTGCCAGGACACCACTGGCGGAAATATTACAATAATAAATAATTTTGGTAGATGCTATTTGTATATGTACATGAACATCAAGATTTAAAAATATTACCATGAAATACCATAAAAATGTTTTACTGAATGTACCTAAATAATAATCATAAAATAGTTAAAGGAAATGTATTTTAAAAGTTGGCAATTCAAACTTAAATGAATAGGAATTATAAAAAGTCAATTTTTATCCTTAGTTTATTATAGATGTAGAAACAGCTAGACTGGTGTATTTCATAGTGTAATGTCATACGGTATTTTGTTGTGGGGAAATGCTGCTCACATTCAAAGTATCTTTGTGCTGCAAAAAAGGGCTATTTGTGCAATTTATAATCTCAGTTATAGGCAGTCACTGAGGGATAAGTTTAAAGAAATTGGTATCATGACAGTCGCATCTCAATACATTTATGAAAACTTAGTGTGTGTAAAGAAAAATAATCATTTATTCACAAAGTTTAGCGACATTCATAAAATAAACACTAGAAATAAAGATAAACTTGTGTTACCAACCACTAGACTACAAAAAGTAAGCAAGTCTTTTCGTTTTCAGGGTGTGCGATTTTACAATAAAGTGCCAAGCAAATTCCATGAATTAAGTATTAACAAATTTAAGTCTTTAGTAAAGCTAAAACTGTGTGAAAAGGCTTACTACACTATTAAAGATTATTTAGACGACAAATTTGCTTGGGATTGATGCTGCTCACTCCCACATTTACGTAGACATCTTTGTTGTTCAGTTTGAAAGTGATGGACATTTAATTATTATTTTTTGGTGTATTTTGTTTGTTTTAATTTGTTTATTTTTCGTTGAATTTGAATTGTATAGTTTTTTTTTTTGTGTAAATATGTAAATGTGAGTATAGTGTAGGCTTGTAATGTTAATTCATAATTTAGTATCTTTCTGGTGGTTTTGAGTGTTTCCACAGCCTACCCAAATGTCCTGCTGGCGGTAGTGTCATGCTTCGGGTAGTTGATCTTGACCAATATCGGTTAGGCTACACAATGGCTGGAGCCTGTGTGCCATCAGTATGGACAGGCTGACTCAAAACTATGGTCCTTTCCTCAAAAGGCCTACCCAGACCCTATACTGTACTTGCACAGTTTTATTTAACTTTATTAAAAAAAAGACACCTCTGTGGTTTGTTTCGGCGTTTCTTCCCAGAGTGAGTCTTAGGAAATGCCGGCTCCTTCTAGCTATAAAGTCCGACTTGTAAAAATATCTGAAAAGATTTACTTACAGAAATAAATATCATTTATATTGCACAAATATGTTTGTTTAGTAAGCCAAAACCTTTCTCAGGGAGGCCTATATCCAGCAGTAGACTATTAACGGCTGTGGAAGAGAATGCGTTTTGAGAATAAGTTTTGTTTTTCACTGGTCTGATTTTTTAATTTTAATTACATATTTATAAGACAATCTTAAATTATATATGTACATAATAATTAAACAAAAAATGTTTCAACTGTCCAAAGTCTGTAGTTAGTCCCTCAGGCATTCTATAATAATGATAAAGCATATTTCATTAATAACAGAATGACCAGCATTTTAATTATACACATACATTGTTCACTCATCAAATATATTTGAAGGATATTTTTTAGCAAATGATGCCCTTGCACATAAAAATTGTGTTTCATGTTGAATTGTTTTTAAACTTTCATTATTGCAAGTACTCTTATAGAGCAAATCAAGAACTTCCATATCTTTCTTAGCGGTTTCACACACATTTTCAACAGTAGCAAGTTCTTCCTCCTCCGCATTGAGTAGCACTTCCATAAGAACTCCTCGTTCAACACGTTTTCTAAGATCAGCAACCTCCTCCTTCAGTTTTACAAAATCCTCATCCGATGTTTGTTCTAACTGAGGTTCGTCTTCAGGAAGTAAAACGTTAGGAGGTATTCTCAAAACTCTTTCAATCTCTTCATCTATTATGTCCAGGGATGGACCTGCTCGATCGCAATATAACTGTATCAGTTTGTCGCACGACTTTGTCAACGTAGTTTTATCTGTCTCGTTGAGATCCAATGATTCTTGTAAGTAAGATTCCATGTCTTTTACACCTGACGTTATTTTTTGTTCCACCATTTGTCGCACTGCTATTTTAAGGCGTTGTGCTCCAAAACCAAAGTGTTGCGTTTCATATTCTTCGTCAGATCCACCGATCCAAGGTTTTGTTTTGATCATTTCGAATTATGTTACTTATTTTCTGTAATAATAACAGCTACCTACTAAACTGTGTAACAACAACAACACAATAGAAAATATTCAAATTTTAACGTTTTTACTTCCTTGACAGTTGACAGTTGACGTGACCATAGACTATAACTTAAATTTTCACACTGAACGAAAGACTGCAACACGGATGTTGGATTGTGGTAGGCCAAAGCTGGTACAGATATCACATAAAGGCTCAAAACTGTTATTTAAAAAAATTGGTACACACACAATAACATATATTAATAATAATAATAAATCGTTGATTTTGTATGTTCTTTAAGTGATTTTTTGAATTTTCGAATAAATTCTTGATAATTTAAAAAAAAATATATTTCCTGATAATAATTTAACAGTAATAGTTATTATTGATATTAGAACTAATATTAATTATTCTCATTATTCGTTGACGTTTTTATTATTAGATCTTATAAATGTATATTCCTAATTATAAAAAAAATAATATAAAAAACAACCGTGAGTTACATTGACCGAATTTTCATCTTATTTTTTTTTAGAAAATCATAGTTATTATTATAGTAGTCCGTCATCCAAGGATAATTCTCTCGACTGATAATGTTAATCTGAAGTAAGTTACTCAATGGGTCAAAAATAAATATTATTATGAACACTATTTTTTTCAAATAATCAATGTTGTAATTTTGACGTACAGCAAGAACTTATACACTGTATAAAAAAAATTAGTGGATGATCAATTTATAAAATTGGTATTATTGCGTACAGGCACAATTTTTACTTGATGTATGGTAAAAAACCTTGAAAAATGGTACATATACCAATAAATTGGTATGTCTAACATCCTGGACTACAAGACAGTTGTCTTGTCAGTATTACCAACAGTCAAGTGACTTGACTGTTGGTAATACTGACAAGACAACTTGACTTAAGTCGTCGTCTTTACAAAATAATTTCAACGAGCTCATTTAAAAAAAATTAATAGTGAATCTAGAACGTGTTGTAGGCCTTACTTTACCGAACTTTGTAGTTGAAGTTTAAATGCATCAATGCAGCAATATATAATTATTTTCTCATAAGATATGTTTAATTCGTCTTTGTGATTTCGTGAAAGGGTATAGAAGTGTGAAGCTAAAGTAGTGCGCACTATTTCATTTCGCTAATGAGCGTGCGTCGGCAGAGACGTCCGTCAGGTTGTACTTGGAATGCCGAATGTTGCACATCATGTGCGAGTAATCTATGACTGACTCGTTTTTTTTTAGTTATACTGAGGCTTCGCTAAAGTTTTTAAGTTAAAGTTTAACTAAAAACCAATTTCTTTCTTAGGCATACGATTTCCCATGGCAGGAAGTATTTCACAGTCAAACACGCTTGGTATGTCTACAAATAGTTTATCTTTGGTCCGCTCAATTTGCCAAAGATACGTCATTAGTGTAAAAATTGAAAAGTATTACCTATCCATTATCCACTTAATATATTACATAATATTTTACAAAATATAACATAATAAATAAATTTAACCGTATTTGCAACGTTTTTCATTAAGATGTGGATAGGCTCCTGGTTCGGGTCACTCTCTGGCCTGCCTTGAGATATGTGAAGGTCAACTCTATCCGTAGCAGCACCGAGCAGGCATACGGAGAATTTTTTTTCATGTCGCCGTCGAGATATTGTAATCCCGAAAGGAGTGTCGTGGTTATGTCTCGCGACTCCAGTCGGGCAAGGCAAGGGTTTTGGCTTAGCCGCCCCGACTGGGAGGAAGGAAACCTCTGTAAAAAATTACCCCGAATCCCCGATATAATATGAAATCTAAAAAAAATATTTTTAAAAAAGATAGCTTTCGTGAACACTAGGATCACTGTCTTGGCGGCGAGACCAATGAGGTCAGAGGAGTTTCAAATGCCTAGCGTCGGGACACACACGCGTCAAGTGTCAAAGTTGTTTTGACTTCAGCGGACTATGTTGTAGCTGTGGTCGATCGGGGTACAGGGCAGCGGAATGCTCTGCCGCTCCCCACTGTCCAGCGTGTGCGGCGGTTAACAAGCCTGCCAATCACCAGATGGGGCAGGGGGGGCTGCAAGCCTTGCCAGCTGGGCCTGCAGGAGTCGTGCTTGCGCCTTCACGTAACCTCTAACCAGGACTCTTCGTCCCTCGGTAACCTTTTGGGCCTCTCCGATGGGGTAACCGAGCCGTGACTGAGTGGTCTAGGCCTATGATGCGTACTTTTGCGCATTTAGTGGGCCTGGACACTCGGACGACAGTTCCAAGAAGCTGACCAGCGACCAGCTGACCAGCGGGCCAGATGGGATATAATAGAATAGAATAATATTTATTTCATAAAGCACAGCATACAAAAATAAAACAAAAGTTAAAAACAACATACACAAAGAAACTAAAAATCAAGTAAGGTTTGATAAAGGCAACATTTTTCAAAGTGTCAATCTTTCATTTCTGACAGAACTGAAACGACACGTCAATGTGCCACGTATCCAACCACGCGTCTATAAAATTTCACTTACAATAACTACATATGTTAGTACTTATCAATTAATACTTATCAACCTGTGTACTATAAAGACCTGTGCTGTTGCTGAAAAATGTTGCTGAGGATTGTACGCCGTGCTTCAGAAAATAGGTGGACCCTCAGTGTACACTGTGGTGGCGCCTAAGTACTGATTTTCAGTGCCCACCTTAGTTGTCGCCCTGATGCCGACAGTGATGCCGATACCTACTCGAGTGCTGGTCCTAGCCCTCGATCATATGTCAGACCGCCGCGGGGAGTTGTTCGACGCTACTTTAATGTCCGGACGTTTCCCTGAGTGCTGGAAGAGCGGGAAGCTGGTCCTGTTGAGGAAGCCGGGACGGCCTCCAGATGCGGTCGCGGCCTACAGGTTCATAGTGCTGCTGGACGAGGCGGGTAAACTGTTTGAGAGGGTCCTCTCTGCCGGCATCGTCCGGCAATTACGCGAGGTTGGCACTGATCTGTAGGTCACCAAATTCGGTTTTCGACCGGGCGTTCGACGATCGACCGTGACCGAAGAGGTAGTAAGCCATTTCGGCATGTTGTTGGCGGGGTCAACTGGTGGGCAATTTGCCCGGCTTGGGATCTCTCGCTACCGGCCGTCATACGCTCCATAACCGGTAATGACAGATGTTTCACCGCGGTCGCATCGTTCTGCGAAAACGTCATCTCGCAGAAGGAGGCGGATTACGGGGCCCGAAGGTGGTGCCCGCGCCGTTGCGGGCAGGCGCTAGGAGAGATCCGGATGTCTTAATAACAGCAGTTTCCGGATGTGGTGACGGCCCGAGGGGGTAAACGTAAAAAAAAGAAAAAAATAGTAAGTGGCCATCGCCGCCTATGGTCACGTACAATTCAAGAGACACAAGTGCGTTTCAGCCTTTTAAATGTTCCCACCCTCCTCTATGTCAAGGGGTGGGAGAGTAATGGGCCTCCGATAACACACTAACTAGGTGAAACGCAACGAAAGAATAGCTAAACACCGGTTTTCTGTGAGGCTGTAGTATCACTCCGGTCCAGCAGTGCCGAATATGTTTAGACAAGTTTAATTTCGTTTGTATGTCCATGCATATCTACGATTTTATTTAAAACTTATAACATATTTTGGTAAAGAGTTGATTGTTTTAATTACTAATAATTAAATGTTAAATCCTTTACATAAAACATTACAGAATTCCGGCAGTATATCTGGGCCGTAGCGGCCAGACCAGACATCTTTCTATATTTTTTTTCATTTTTTTATTCTTTTAGCCTGTATTGTCCTACTGCAGGGCAAAGGCCTTCCTCTCTCCTTTCCACATCTCTCTGTCGTGTGCTAGTTCGGACCAGTCTTTTCGAAAGCCGTCGAGATCGTCGCGCCATCGTCGCCTGGGCCTAGTACGGTGTCGTTTAACGCCTTGTGGGACCCAAGTGGTGGTGCTAATCTTTGCCCATAGATCCGTCGGCATGCGGCAAACGTGCCCCGCCCAGTCCCATTTGAGTGCGGCGGCTTTATGCGTGACATCTGCGATTTGCGTTTTGGAGCGTAGTGCTGTATTTCTTATTCGGTCTGTCAGCAGTACGCCCAGAATACTACGCTCCATGACTCACGCTTCATGAGATTCTTATCGACCAATAGCTCTTCCAGGCATTTTCGATGCGGCGCGAGACTTCTTTTTCCTGCCTTGCCTGGAAAAGACTATTTGGCCGAGAAATAAATATTCGTGGACAAGTGCAAAATCCGCACCCCTACGTATACTCTAATTTCGGTGCTGTTGATCATGATTTTTGTCGTTGACATGTTTATCCTAAAGCCGATCTCAAGGCTCGCCGTCTGCAGGTCGTTAAGCATGTCAGTCAATACTGTTGCCGAAGAAGAAAATAGCACGATATCGTCGGCAAATCGGAGGTTATTAACCTCTTTTTGCCGACGCCTGGACCTCTGTCTACCCATCCTTCAGATAAGCTTTTAAAAATTTCTTCTAGGGTGGCAGTAAAAAGTTTTAGTGATAGCTTGTCTTCCTGCTTGACTCCTACTTGGATGGGAAAGACTGGCCCTTTAGTATGGATCTTAATGGATGCGGTGCTATTGCTGTAGATATTTTTTAATAAATCTATGTAGTCTTTCTCTATTCCCTCGATGTCAAGTACGTGAAAAAGTGTTGTCGATAAATGCCAGACATAACGTTCTTATTAAAGTCGATACACTTATCTATTATTTTGATTAGGCAATGGAGATGGTCAATGGTTGATAGACCTCTCCGAAATCCAGCCTGTTCGGGGGGTTGGTGGAAATCAAGTTTGCTGGCTATTCGTTTTTCTAAGGTTTTCATTAAAATTTTGTATTAATGAGATATTAAACTTATAGGACGGTAATTCTTTAAATAAGTTTTATCACCTTTCTTATGAAGTAGAATAAGAGTGGAAAAATTTATTAGGTACTGTTTTCGTTTGAATGACGGTGTTGAATAAATGTGTTATGTAAGGTAGAAGTATG